AACAAAGTCCAGTGGATTGATTTGTTTATTTTTTTTGGAACGACTGTGACCTGGATGACTGAGAATCTTTTCCAGCATGTAATTTCCCTCTGGGATTATTAAAGTATGTCTGATTCTGATAAAGAAGCTGGTGGAATAACTCAGATAGATCAGACAGGCTAGCATTCATTCGCTGCGCTGTTATCCAGATGGCGAGTAAATGTCGTGAATCTGATCTGAAGTGAATCAGAAATGTTCAACGCCACCTGCAGCCATTCTGTTACCGTGGGAGCGAGTCAGAGTCCCACTCTGCCCCTCGGCTGACACTGATGGGATTGGTAGAAGTGCTTGGAGACCCTCATAAGCTCCTTTTCTTTTTGCCCTGATTTTTATCTTTTCTTCTGGCATGTGAACTTCAGCTCCTGAGGAAGTGAATGTAGCTATAAATTAATGCTATTCCCCCTTCCTGTCTCTGTTATTGGCGCACCTCCGCTTTCCTCCGAGCTTCTTTAGTTTGTTGGCAGGCACGGCAGAAAACCTCACCACTCTGAATTCAGAGTGTCTGTGCTGACCTGTGCTTCCATGTCACTGTGTGCTTCCTTACTGCCTCAGCAGCTCTAAAGAGAACAGTTTGGCCTCTAGGGAGGGTTACCCTGATTTAAGGTTTTGTCCTCCATCTTTCTTTTTATAGACTCTTTCCATTGAGTCGGGTATAAAGGATCTGTCATGGAGTTTTAAACAAACTTTGGTTACGTTTAAAAGAACTCGTATCTCCTAATTGACAATAGTTTGTGGATTCTTAATTTTGAGGGTCCAACCTTTTCCTAAAAAACTTTAAACGATGAAGACAGGATTTTTTGCTGCTTGTTATAGATGTTAGAAGAGAGGAATGACCTTTTCAAATAGTGTCGACCCTTTTTACACTTGTTCAGCTCCAGGCTGTACAAGGCTGCTCAGCTACTGGATGAACCCTGAAGAACCACAGAAGGCTTAGAATCATAAGCGTCGTTAGACCTATTTAAGGGTGGCTTCAGTCATCCTTTCTTTGGCATTAGCCACCCTATAATTATTTTACGATTTAAAAAAAAAATATTTTTTTTTTCTGTATTTATTTTTTCCTCATATTTTCCCAAAACAAATGCAGTAAAGCACCGAATAAAAGCCATAAAGAAGACAAGTTAATCTGAACAATCATAGGCGTAACTTCCTTAAGGACTGGCGTGGACATGTCCCCACCAATATTTTGTACACGTATTTTGCTTTCGGTGCTGTGTATATCTGATTAAAACCCCATTCATGCCGCTCCTCAGAAAGAAAATAAAAAAAGTTCTCCCCGCTGCTCACCGTCCACAAACCCCGACAAAAAAACTCAGAAAAAAGAATCTGTTGCCTCTCGCTTTCTCCCCATCACCCCCCTCCGCCCTCTCCCCATAACACCTGTCGCTTCCCTCCAAAAATGCATTCAGGGACAGCAGTGGACTCAGACTTGCAGGTGAGAGGGACTTGTTGAAATATTAAGACCTAATTTTAGTCAGGAGAGGCTTGGGTGCACTGGGTGCACTGGGTGCACTGGGTGCAGCGCAGCGTACAATAGCCTATGATGGGTTAACGGGTCGGGTTGCGGGTTAAATATCAACAGGTCGGGTCGGGTCCGGATTTGAATTGAAGATATCCGCGGGTGACGGGTCGGGTTCGGTAGTCATCCTAACGGGTTCGGGCGGGTGCGGGTTGGTAAAACTCGACCCATGCAGGTCTCTAAGCTACACTACATTCAGTATCGTTGCCATAGAAACAGACAACAGCGCCAATATATCAGAATTATACTAAAACACACGCAAATAATTTCCCACATAAAAAACAGGACTTTCAGTCCATTACAGTTTTCCGTTTTTAGAGGGTTGTTTATTTTGCGTTTATTAAGTGATGGCTGTGGTATATTAGCTTTCACTGCTATAAGCTTTCGCAGCAGTGATTGATTAATTTAAACACCTGCTCTGCTGATGGTCTATCGGAGTTGGTGTTTAGGTTGAACATAAAGAACACCTTTTATTTGAAGCTTCTTGTAGCTACTGTTTTAATCCCGGCTTCACTTAAAACTTTTTCCTGACTTTGATAGTGTTGCCATTCAGTAGCAAGCACTGCGCCCCTTTTTCTTTTATATGTACATTTAAGATTTAGCGTGTTATGTTGACAACTCATGAGCAAGCTGCTTTTTGCAATCTAGCAGGTAAGGATAGGATCTTGCAGGTGTGACGTCACTCTGCAGGGGGTCCAAAGATAAAAGATTTAAACAATTTTGGCATTGGAATTTCAGATTTAAGGGAGTTAGAAAATCACTTAGTAAAAGTGCAAATAATAAATCTGATTACCGATTACTTTTAAGCTGGTTGAACATACTGCGACAGACTGGTGACCTGTCCAGGGTGATCCCACCTCTCACCCAGAACGTGGCTAGAGATATGCACCAGCACCTCCTGATCCCACTGAGGGATAAGGTTAAAGAAAATGGATGGTTGAACATAGTCCGCTGATTCTATCAAATCAGTATTGATACCCTGCTGGTGGATGTTCTTGACAGAAAGACGGAGTTGCTTAATCATATTCTGCTTAAGGCCCCATAAGATCTTGTCCGAGTCCTGGTTTAAAAGTAAAATAATTTTAAAAAGTGACCTAAAATTGACCGTCAATAAATGTTCTATAAAATTGATATATTTATTTGATTTCTTTCATTTGTACTGTCTGTTTAGATTTATGTAATATTTTTGGCACAAAATATATAAGTGAATATTGTAACAGTTATGTTTTCAACTGTAAGCATTAAATTGATAAATGTTATTCGCATTTTTTTGGCTTTATCCTTTCCAACAAAAAAAAAGGCGTCGCGCAGGTAGCTCCTTTTCCTTATGAGCCGTCCCCACCAACTTTCAACACAAAGTTACACCCTTGTCTTAGACAACGCCTTAGCAGGTGCACTGAAAAAATTTCGGCGCGCGCTCTTCGCGCGCAATATCTCCTAGAGGCTGAGCCACCCTTGTCTCTTAAACCTAGAGATGCCCCTGCTTAGAATCCAGCAGAAAGAGCCTCGAACGTCTGGATATTTTCCTCTAAGAGCAGGATGACGATTAGGGCTGCTAATAGATTAATTGATTAATAATCAGATGGCAAAAGTTTCCTTAAAGAAGTTTTTTTTTTTGTTTTTTTTTTTTACAGATTAACCCCTTAAACCCTGAGGGTCTTAGGAGCAAATTCCACATATTGAAGTACAGCTCCCAAACTATAAAATGCGATTACAATTGCTCCACATATTCTCATTATCAGTTCGTATGAAATCGTACGAAAAGTTATGCCCACTATTTCATACGTTTTGGACGTTTTTCCTCAAAAAAAAAACAGATCAGTGCGCATGCACTGGCAGAGAGAAAAAAAAAGCAGATCCGCGCACGGACGTAACAATTGGAAAAACAGTGCAATAATTACTTCTTCATGTCTCTAACTATGTTGCTTGCTGTTTTATATCTTAGGGTTAGGTGCAGGGTTAGGGTTAATTGTATGTTAAATTCTGTTATTGAATGGACGTAAAAAACGTCCAAAACGTACGAAATTACGGTGCATAACTTTTCGTACGATTTCATACAAACTCATAATGAGAATACACTGAATTGCTTGTATTTGCGTGACAAAAAAAGGCATATATTTATCAAATATTTAGCCTCCCCACATTTATTTCCAAAATAAAAACCATGAAAGCCCATTTGAAACTCTGGATGAACCCTCAGACTTTATAGATCCACATCTTAACTATGACTCAAGCAAATTTGGACTGAATCAGTTGAAGCATCTTTGTTCCACAAAGGTTTTAGTCGGCAGTGTGCTGGGAGGAAATGTGATTTTGGCACAGTGGCAAAATACAAAAATGCATTTTTTCCACTCATAAAAGGGAATCTGGTCAGACAAATATGCTGATTTACTTTATTGGAGACCTTCTGCATAAAGACTTATTTATACTATATATTATATTCGTAGGTGTCACTGTGAACGCAGAGACGTCCCCGCCCCCTTCTGCAGACACTCTGCTGCACCTCTCCATAAATGTAGGTGACCGCAGACAGGAGGCCTCTGATTGGTCACATCTACATCCGCTCCACTCTGCGTATTTCCTGTTTGGTTCCTTACAGGCTTGTTTTGTTTGTATGACCGCCATTGTGGCAAACGACTTGCGAAGATGGACCAGCTAGAACCTAGCGAGGTGCGCGAGAACTAGGGGTGTAAATCACATCCATCATGGCGATTCGATTCGGTATCGATTTCCTGACCCAACGATTCCATTATTTTCGATACTCAAGAATACACCACGATATGATTCGATTAATCAGTTATTTATTTTGTACACCTTACAGGCTAAACAAAGTTTCAAGTTTGAAATAAATCAATGAAAGCTGTAATATCGTTATGAGTTTTTTTTAGAAAAACAGCAAATAACAGAAGTAAAAAAAGTTGCATCAAAAAATACTGCAGAAATACAGATGAAAAAAAGATATTACAGATATTATTTGTTTAGTCTGCTGAACCCCAGTGGGCCTCAGCAGATGGCCGCTCACACTGAGCCTGGTTCTGCTGGAGGTTTCTTCCTGTTCAAAGGGAGTTTTTCCTCTCCACTGTCGCTACAAGCATGCTTAGTGTGAGGGATTGCTAAGGAGTCAATGAGTCGATGCAATCAGCTGGTTTTCCTCAGATAGAAAACATTAAATTAATCTGACTGAGCTATAGAAATAAACTGAATAGAGTTGATTTCTTATTTTATGAAGGAGCGAAGCTTTCAATTTGTTTTTTTTTCTCTTCCTCTGCAGAAACATCCACTTGTTTATTTAGATATTGAATCTTTTTTGGATTTAATTTGATGTGTAGAAATGTTCCTAAATTTAACATGGCCCTTTTAGCATTTTCACTACCCTGAATCTTTAACTGATGCTATGCTGCTTCCTGTCACCTCCAATAAATGCTGGTCTGTTGTATCTCTCCAGTGCCAGAGGCTGTCCCCACTAAGCCCAGTCCTGGTTCATCTCGCCACCTTCAAACCTCCAGCCCCACACTGCCCCTCTCCTCCTGTCCTCCTGCTAATGCCAAGGGCCCCCCGTTGGGCAGCCAGGGCCTGACTCAGAACCCCCCTCAGCAGCAGAGCCAGTTGTCCTCTGCCGGTCCCCGCTACCCGCCCAGAGAGGTGCCCCCGCGCTTCCGTCAGCAGGAGCACAAACAGCTACTGAAGAGAGGCCAGCCGCTGCCTGCAGGAGCCCTGGGCGCTCTCACCCTCCCTCCTTCCTCTCCCTCATCTTCCTCAGCGCCTTTGTCCTCGTCTTCTACGACTTCCAAGAGCGCTGCCCCAAACTCTGCCACGTCCGCTCCAAGCAAACACAGCCCAGGTTTGTGTCTGCGTCGTCGCTTTCCTTTTCGTTTTAGTGTGTGGGCTTGTGAATCGTCTGCTTTCAGTTTGATTCGTCACTTTATTGAATGTTGTCCATTGTTTTTTCTCTGACTTTTATTTGTGTACGCCTGTTCAACTGTTTCTTATTACTTGTCCTTTTCTTGCAATTCGTACTTTCTTTCTTCTCGCCGCAGCAGCAAATATATATTTACCACATTGAGTTCTAGTTCTTAACAAATACAAATCTCTAGTTCCCTGAAAACATCCAGATCTTTAGAAGTAATTTACAGGGTTTCCACGGGTCATTAAAAGTCATTCAATTAATATTTTTTAAATTAAGGTCTTAATTGGCATTAAAATTCATTTAATGTGATTATAATGGTATTTAAAATGCCTTATTTAAGCATTTAAGCATAAAAAAAATGTATAAAAACAATTTCCTCAGATTTATCAGATAGAACTGGTTGCGCGTGTTTGCAAGGAACTGCTTCCGGTTGATCTTAAAGCCAAATGTTCCGAAAAAAAGCTCGAGGCGGAAAAATGTTAAAGAATGGGAAAACGCAAATTTCAACAAAATTGGCTGGAAAACGAGGAATTTGGGACATGGCTGCAGCCTGTTGACGGTAAAGATGACGAAGGATTTTGCCGTGTTTCTTTTATTTATATATATATTAGGGATGGAACGGTTTTTTGTAAACCGTCCGAACCGTTCGGTTCGACTGTCTCGGTTCGGTTCGCATGTGTTGCGTTCGGTTCAAGCGCTGCTCCTTTTTCTCATAGGCGAAGCGTTTACACTCCAGAGCAGAAGGTGGCGGTACTGCGACCAAAGCCAACCACCAGTAGTAAACAAGAAGAAGAAGAAGCGAAGCAGCGTAGCCGGGTGTAGCAGAAAAAAATCAGTTGTTGTGGAGAATTGTGTGGGTATGGCGAGTGGGAAAGAACAGGAGTTGGAAGACGCGCCAGCAGCACTTTATAGGTCTGCTGTATGGGACCACTTTGCATTTAGAGTGACCTACGATGACGGCGGAAAGAAAGCTGTGGATAAAAACAGTGTGCAAGCATTGTGCAACACGTTTTGTTTATGCCAACAGCAACACGACCAACATGTCAGGCTAGACCTGAAATCCCTCATACTCCGTCAGCGCTCCGCCCCGCTGCGCTCCAGACCGGCTGCACAAAGCAAAGCCTACAGCCTCCACTGTGGCTTCGTCCGCTCTGAGTTCCTTGGAGATCGTAGAGAGCATGCGCCAGATGATTAAATTCAAAGCAGCAAAACATGCGGAAATGATCCAGGGTTTCCGCGGATCATTAAAAATAATTACAATTCATTAATTTTTTGGGATTTTTTTCATTAATTTCATGAATTTTTGGGGGATTTCGGTGTAACAATCAACATATACCGAACCGAAAACTGTGACCACGAAACCGTGAACCGAACCATGGATTTTGTGAACCGTTCTACCCCTAATATATACTTGTTGATGGCATTAAAATTATGTCTAAGAGCATTAAAATGCATTGAATTAGAGTTATTCATTCCTGTATAAACCCTGATTTAGGCTTTGTAATCTATCTGAGCTGTTTCTGGTCCTCGACGCCTCTTAGGGAACAAAGATGAATTAACAGCGTATTGAAAACCTTAAAGTCGTAGGGAAGTCGTATTTAAATATCAAATCATTCTGGCTTACACTTAAAAACACACTAAAAATCTGTGTTTATTTTTCGCTATCTTCTGCAGGCCAGTTAGTTCTACGTCAGCCTGAACACCGAAATTCGACCGATCATATATCAGCGGTCATCTGTCAATCAGATTTTTTCAGTCATAGCATCTTGATTCATATGTCGCAGCTAATATACGCAAAGGTTGAAATAAGAATCATTTCCTTTCCCATTGAGTGTTCCAGTGTCCCAATGGAATTTCCCATTGGGACCAAGTAGCAGTAAGTTGCTAACTGGTTAGCAAGATGCTTCCGACAAACCGGCCACAACCAAACTTGCTTGCAAACCTTCCACCACAACAATCCCGCCCCCTTGATAAACGACCAATAACATTCACTTTATTCACTCGTGTAAAGTCGGGCACCACTCGGGAGAATTTGCAAATGCAACGGTTGGAACAGCCGCTTCCCTACGACTTGAAATGTGTGGAGAAGTAAAAAGCAGGTTTAGGTTATAAAACATACCAAGCATGTTGGCGGCATCATGCTGTGGGGACGAGTTTCTTTAACAAGGACAGGCTGTTTAAGCTGTCAGCAGGATGAATGGAGCTAAAAGGGAAATCCTTTCTACAACACAATCTGCAAACCAACATAGGTGAAAGTGTAGCCAGGACTGCTTCTTTTCTGTCCATCTGCTCTGTTAGGAATGTGAAACTTGATCGTCACATTTTCACGTATTTTAATTCATTTTGTACATGTAAGCTGAAGTTGTGCCAAAGGGCAGTTATACCAGCTGTAAATGTCCAAAGGGCAAGAAAAAAAAAAACGCATCGTTATCAATGTACTAAATACCATTTATCAGTTTAAAAAAAAATTTTATTTTGGAAATAAAAACTCCAATCATCTCGAAGAACCATGAAAAAAATAATGGCATCTGTTTACATTTGATACCAAAATTGCATAAACAAAACAACCCAGAAAAACGTTTTTAAGATGCTGGTGAAAATTCTCAGTCATAGTGAATATAAATAAGTAAAAAAAAAAAACAATCCAGTGGACTTTGTTTCCAAGTTTGAAGACGTTTCTCTTCCCATCCAGGAAGCTTTTAGACAGGTATGGGGCATTACAGGCTAACTAAGAACCCAAACGAGCCCCTTACAGGTGTGGACCCGTTCATCCGTTTCTATTTGCATGTTTTCTAAACTAAAACCAGGCTTTGTTGGGCTGCTGGATAAAACCTGGAACTAAACGCTATTTCTGACATTTTGAATTGAAAAATCTTCCTGGATGGAAGAGAAACGTCTTCAAACTTGGAAACAAAGTCCAGTGGATAATTTTTTAACATTTTTTGAGTGTTTTAGCAACATGTTGCAGGTTTGAACTTCTGGTCCAGTTATACCAAAGGTTTGTTTTCAGAGGCCGTGTTTTAGATGAAGAGGCGTTGCTCTAAACTCTGGTAGACTTTTAATGAACTCCCTATTGGCTGGTGTGATCAGTTATGCTTAACTAGCCTCCAGAGGCTCTTTGTAGAGTGTTTGTTTGTATTTGTTTTTGTGCTGAGCTGCTCGGTCTACTGTGCATCCTTTTCCTACCCAAGCTTAACCTTCACATCTAACATTGTTTTTGTTTTTATAAACGTATAAAAGAATTCCTCCCATGCGTCATTTAGCCCAACGGTTCGTCTCTTCCTCCAACATTAAGCCTCTGTCACCTTGAACAAACAGATAGATATGAGGCATCTGGGCGCTGCACGCTGTTTTCATGGTTAGACAGGAGTTAGTGATCATATGCTTGCATCTTTGTTTAGGCTTCCTCTGCTTTTTTTTTGCATCAGCGACGTCCTGCGCCGTCTTTGATTACAGGCTCAGCGTTGGCTGTGAGCACAGCAAACACGCTCTCTGTAAACAGATCCGCAGCAGCTGCCGTGCACGGCCAGCATGGCGGAGAGCTGCGTCGCTGCTGCTGTTTGCTTAACGTCGGTGCCATCAGTCACAACGTCGAACAAGAGCCTAAATCCTAAGTAATCCGTTGCTGAAAGCTTGGTGGATTAAAAAAACAAAACAAAGAAAAAACGTTATTTTCTTTCGGTTTTGAATCTGTTAGATCTTTGGTTGAAAGTGGATTTCATTACTTTGGATGAAGATGTTCTAAAAATATTTTACACTCCAAGTTTATGGTTTTCTCAGCCGGGAGCCAAGATCTAAATAAGGCTGCAGGCTTTGATCTCAGGAGAGAGGCAAACTGCAGAAGCCAGGAGATTCAAATAAAGATGTATTTCCTGTAGGTTTAATCCTGGTTCTGGATATTAACCTTTAGCGGTTTAGTCTGGCAGTTTGTTGTCCTGGTCGGCCGTCACTTTGTGCTCATTTTCCCAGGAGTGTCTTAGAAAAAGCCGCCTGTGGCCGGGGTTCCCTGCCATCATGCCAGATTCATCCTAAGGGCTTCCAAGGCACAGCCTGCTATTTGATGTCGGCTAATAGCCTGAAGCTAACAGTCCTGTTGTTGTAGCAACTGTCAACCAATCACATTCACTTTATTCACTCGTATAAAGTCGGGCACCACTCGGGAGAATTCGGAAATGCAACCTTGTGAACGGCCGTTTTTCTACGACTTTAAGATATTTGGTTTGGTTCATTTCTTTAGGGTGTTGGATCTTTTCCTTTTACCGTATTTTTTTCGCAACTATAAGGCGCATATAAACGTCTTTTTTTCCCCCTCAAAATGTGTTGTTACTGCGGACGTTGTTGAGACCGCCATGAGAACGTTTAAGGGGGAAGTGCGGGCGTGGATTGTTTATAAAAGAACAGCTATGAGCTTTATGCAGAACATCGCTGTTAATCTGTGACTCCATGCGTGCCCATCTCACAGCCGATGTAAAAAACACGGTGAAACAAATGAACGCCGTTATCCCGGGGGGTCTGACAAAGGAACTTCAACCGGCCGTTCAAAGTAAGGCTGCGAGCGGCGTGGGAGCCATGGATGACCGACGGAGACCACAGTTTCACGAAAAGTGGAAGGCAGCGCCGGGCAAGTTACGCCACAGTTTGCGGATGGATTGTAGATGCTTGGACTAACGCGTCTGCTGGCTCTGTTGTTCGAGCTTTCGCAAAAGCCGGCATCATTTCCGAGGAGCCGTCCGGCACGGAAAGTGACTCTGACAGCGAAGAATGGGAAATTAGCATGTCTGATTTAGCGCAGCTGTTTAATTGAGAAACAGAGGATGATGACTTTGATGGGTTTGATTAATAGTTTTGCTCCCGCTCTATTTTTAATTACGCAGTAGAGGTATTTAAACGTAGTAGAAGATATTTACTGGTATATAAAACCCGCGCCCTATAGT